AATGCAGAAACGAATTTTTGACAGATAACGAAACCACGTTTAGAAGGTAAATTTTGATTGGCCGAAAAATAATGCGAAATGTATGGCTAATTTAGGTGAAATGGAGTGATATTATTGGTTGTTATTAAAGGGATTACATTGGCGCATTTTACTATATATCCGATTTTACAGCTTAGCTTCAAGAATTTTGTGATCATCATCTAAACCACGCGTGGTCTGTGTATTTATAATTTCTGCACTGTCTCCGATATAATATTAAAATAGTAACAAAGGCGTCTATTAAAGGTCAAACTCGACACCAATGTACTGTAATATAAAAACAAAGGAGGGGAAAAGTACTGAATTAATAAGTACATGATCTTATAAAAATAACAATGATGTTCAGTAACTATATTGTTATTCTAAACTCTCTAAGACACATACAAAAAGAATATAGAGAGATATGAAAATTAACAGCCCTGAAATGGCTAATAATAAATTACTTGGTTACCTATGTACAAGAAGAAAAACCTGACTCATATTTGAATTAACGTGTGCTCCATTTTAGTCATTGAGTAGGTAACAGTGTAAACTGTTTAAAACATATAAATGTGTGTATAGTTACAATATCATATGGAGTCTTTGCTAACATTAAGGTTGTCTTAAGGCCTCAACTGACGGTAGGATTTTGAAGTACAACACCAATTAAAACTAAGATGTACAGACAAATCTGTATGTGTGAAGGCTACTATTTATTGATTTCGTTAACCTTAAGTCTAGATGTAAGGGATAGGACATGTTCTATTTTGAAAATCTTGTCATACAGATTTTTACAGACCTCCCACAATGACAAGTAACGAAAACCAAATTATCTCCTGATAATGGGTGAAATGAATGAAATTCCAGAACAATTAGGGCTAAAAGGTAAACATAGTACAAATGTAGTATCAGATGGGGTAAAAATGATGTTGAAACTCTTCAGGAGACCCAAAGTTGTGTTATGTTCGAATCCCAAATTATTCCGAAAATGATTATGTCACGGTATTTAATTGTTCTCTAATTAGGAGAAGGGAGGTAGTTTGTAGGCGGCCAGATAGCTTAGTCAGTAGAGCTGCAGTACGGTATTCCGAGGGTCCCAGGTTTGAGTCTCGGTCACAAAATATATATTCATTTTTTTAATAGAGGTGTTTCAATCATTATCATGGCAAAACAAGAGCCATGTCAACATGGCCATCCCCCGCCGAATGTGTTTGCTCATTGGAAGAATGTATATGTAGAAGAGCGGAATAATTCCATTTTAAGAGGTCTTTTGGTAATGAAAACTGATGGCTATAGTGATTACAGATTTGAAAGCTATGTGAATACTGATGGCTGAAAATAACAAAGGGCAATTACTGAAAAAAATAATGCAGGGTAGGTTATCATTCTTGTGTGCTGCATCCATCCCTCCTTAGTAAAATCTATCCACCTATGAAGTTTCAAGTTGATACCTCAAATACTTTTTGAGAAAAAAAATTGAATTGAAAAATATGCAAAAGAACAAAGGGAAATAACTCAAAAATTATAAAAGGTAGAGTTATCATTCTTGTGCAGTGCACACCTCCTGAGTGAGATCTATGCACCTATGAAGTTTCATTTTGATATCTCAAAGGCTTTTTGAGTTATGCTCTGGACAAAAAATAATTTTGAAAAATAACAAAGGGCAATAACTCAAAAATAATGCAGGGTAGAATTATCATTCTTAAGCACTGCACACCTCTTCAATGAGATTCATCCACCTTTGCAGTTTCAAGTTGATACCTCAAATACTTTTTGAGATAAGCTCTGGACAAAATAGCATGAAAAAAAACAAAGGGCAGTAACTCAAAAATTATATAGGGAAGAGTTATCATTCGTGCGCACAACATACCTCCTCAATAAGATCTATCCACCTATGACATTTCATGTTGATATCTCAAACACTTTTTGAGTTATGCACCACTCAGGTGAAAAATTAGGTACGAAAAATAACAAAGGGCAATAACTCAAAAATTATGAAAGGTAGAATTATCATTCTTGTGCACTGCACACCTCCTTAGTGAGATCTATGCACCTATGAAGTTTCATGTTAATATCTCATAGGCTTTTGGAGTGATGCTCTGGACAAAAATCAATTTTGAAAAAATAACAAAGGGCAATAACTCAAAAATCGTGCAAGGTAGTGTTATCATTCTTGTGCACTGCACTCCTCCTCAATGAGATCCATTCACCTATGAAGTTTCAAGTTGATAACTCACAAATACTTTTAGAGATATGCTCCAGACAAAAATGTCGGACAGAGGGACGGACTGATTGAGCCCCATATAGCCATTGCTCCAATTTTTAGTTAAACAGGGGCTCAATATAAACATATAGTATGTTATAGATTGTACCCTATATAAGAAAAAGTAAAAATAGAAAGTTTGTTTATTTACAGACAAACCAGCTGTTAATTATTTACAAGGGATAAAAATATAGACGAAAGATCAACTAGAAATGTGTCCATAGGACACGGGTGCCCCCATGACCTCGCCACTGTTCTGTCAATCTTATGAAAACTAAACATCTTTTACTAAGTAAAGAGCAAGAACTTTACAAATACTGAGTAAATCCACAAGCAAACCCCAAGGTGCATAAGTACACATGCTGACCAACATTCTTGTAAACTTTCAAGCCAGTACAAGTGAAATACTTTTTGAGCTATGCATGAAAATTGCAAATTTATACTACTGTTAGTCAAGAGCAATAACTCTAACAAAACTGGAAAAATCCACATGCAAAGTCCCAGTAGCATAGCTTCACAGTGATGTGATTCATTATTCCTGTAATTTAGTGATGTTGATCATTATTCATGTAAAAGTGGTTGATTCTAACTCAAGCACTCAATGAACAAATAACAACATAATGAAAAGGATTTTACTAAGTACTAAAAATAAATAACTCAAACAAGAAATGGTTGAACCGGATGATGCTCCCCGAGAAGGTTTTGGACACAGAAAAGTATAAAAAAAAATGAACAAAGTGCAAAAACTCCAAAATAAGGCAAGGCAGAGTAATGATTCTTTAGCACTGCACTTCTACCCAATGAGATATATCTATCTACAAAGTTTTATGATGATATCTCTTATTATTTTAAAGTAATGTTCCGGACAAAGTTCAAAGTGTCAAAATGAACAAAGGGCAATAATTCCAAAAGTAGGCAAGACAGTGTTACAGTTCTTGTGTTCTGCACACCTACTCAATGAGATCTATCTAACTACAATAAGTTTCATGTTGATACCTCTTATAGTTTTAGAGTTATGTCCTAGACAAAGTTCAAAGTGTAAAAATAAACAAAGAGGAATAATTCAAAAATTAGGCAAGGCAGAGTTACGGTTCTTATGCACTGCACATCTACTCAATGAGATCTAGATACCTACAAAGTTTCATGTTGATACCTCATATATTTTAGAGTAACGTCCTGGACAAAGTTCAAAGTGTAAAGTAAACAAAGGGGATAATTAAAAAATTAGGCAAGGCAGAGTTACGGTTCTTGTGCACTGCACACTTACTTAATGAGAACTTTGAAACAACAAAAGGTATCAACATGAAACTTTGTAGGTAGATACACTTACCTATATAATTTCATGTTTGAACCTCTTATACATTTAGAATTATGTCCTGGACAAGTTCAAAGTGTAAAAATAAACAAAGGGAGATAATTCAAAAATAAGGCAAGGCAGAGTTATGGTTCTTGTGCACTGCACACCTACTCAATGATATCTATCTACCTACAAAGTTTCATGTTGATACCTCTTATACATTTAGAATTATGTCCCGGACAAAGTTCAAAGTGTAAAGTAAACAAAGGGGATAATTAAACAATAAGGCAAGGCAGAGTTACGGTTCTGGTGGACTGCACATCTACTTAATGAGAACTATCTACCTACATAGTTTCATGTTTATACCTCTTATACATTTAGAATTATGTCCTGGACAAGTTCAAAGTGTAAAAATAAACAAAGGGGAATAATTCAAAAATTCGGCAAGGCAGAGTTACGGTTCTTGTGCACTGCACACCTGTTCAATGAGATCTATCTACCTACAAAGTTTCATGTTGATACCTTTTGTTGTTTCAAAGTTATGTCCCACACAAGAAAAGCGGACGGACGGACAAGGCGGCGACTATAAGCTCCCCAAATTTTTCGGGGGGCATAAAAATAAGAAGTGCAGAGCAGAAGTTTCTGTGCACTGCTTTTTTTATTGATAAGATCTATCATCTTATGAATTTTCAAGTTCATGGTTTTTATAATTTATGAGCAATGGCCTAGACAATAATAAAGTATGAAAAGTAATAAAGGGTAATAACTCAAAAATATGAAATGCAGACTACCGGTACTGCACTTGTTCTTAATGAGATCTATCATCCTATGAGTTTAAAGACAATAGCTTTTATACTTAGGAGAAATGGCCTGAGCAAAAATAAAGTATGAAAATCAGCAAAGGGCAATTACTCAAAAAATAAGAAATGCAGAGTACCGGTTAATATGCGCTGCATTTCTTCTAAATGATATTTATCATCCTATAAAGTTTCATGTCCATAGCTTTTATACTTTAGGAGAAATGGCATGGACACGAATAAAGTATTAAAATTAACAAAGGGCAATAAAAAAAATAATGAATGCAGAGTACCGTTTCTTGTGCACGGCACTTCTTCTTAATGAGATCTATCATCCTATGAAGTTTCATGTCCATAGCTTTTATACATGTACTTGATGGCATGGACAAAAATAAAGTATGAAAATTAACAAAGGGCAATAACTCAAAAAATAAGAAATGCAGAGTACCCGTTCTTGTGCACTGCATTTCTTCTTAATGTGATCTATCATTCAAGTCCATAGCTTTTATACATTAGGAGAAATTGCCCGGACAAAAATAAATTATGAAAATTAACAAAGGGCAATATCTCAAAAATTAAGAAGTGCAGAGTACTGGGGGCCGTTTTATCAACGTGTCGTAGTCTACGACAATTTTTTGTCGGTGCCGTACGTCTGCGACAATGTCGTACGACCGTTTTATGAAACGTGTCGGTGAATTGGTGTTTCTGCGATGTCGTAGTCTTTGTCGTAGACTAAAATTCACGCGTGACACAGTCTAGTCAGTGCGCGCTATGACGTCACAACTGTCAAAAGTGACAGACGAAACAATAACATTGTCAAATGGACGTGAAAAAAACTAAAAGGCCAAAGTGGGAAATGGAGGAAACAACTGTTTTAGTTGAAACAGTTGTTTCCTTCAAAAATTTAGATGCTAAATTTACCAATACCTACTGTTCTGCAGACAGAAATCGTTTCTGGGCGGACACTACGGAAAAGTGAGTAAATCTTCGGAAGTATCTAAGTCCGACTAGTTATAACTGAACTTAGTTAGATCTAATAGATCTATATAAAGAATCATATTTGATTACATTTTATCATTATCATACTCCACTTTTATAGTTTGTATAGAATCTAGATTTTGATAATGTGTTCCGTGATTTTCCTGCTTATATAACCACGGATTTATATAACAGAGTCCAATTATTTTAGGCACGAACGGGCACCTGAGTAGAACCACCGACGTTCCGTAAGCTAGCTGGATAGCTTCCTCACATGAAAGAATCCAAAGTCCCTGTCGGGATTCGAACCCACAGCAGTGAGGGGCAACTGGTTTGAAGTCAACGACCTTAACCAGTCGGCCACAGATGCCCCCTCTTGTAATGAAGCATATCGGTAATCATAATGTTGTATCTAAGTATGTAAATCATGAATAGATCATTTGCAGTAGAATGAGATAATGCTTATGTGCATGTAATAACAAAAAGTTTGATGGTATAGTAAAAACTCTGAAAACCGGACCCTGTCTGGACTTGACCAAAAGTCTGGTTTATAGAGGAAAAAGGTAGATGATTATTAACTGTTAAAATATCACAATTTAAGAGCATGTCTTAGTCCACATTAAAATACACAGAAAGTTTACACTAAATTGCTGCCTGGTTTTCAGACATTATGTTTTTTTGCATGTTTAGCATGAATTGCCATTTTCTGACAAGCTTTATAATAAGGAGAAAAAATATGGGACTTTTAAGATGTCCGGTTTTCAGAGGATTCCGGTTTTCAGAGGGTCCGGTGTTTAAAGTTTTTACTGTACATGTTCAATCTACTGGGAATGTAAGCCTGATTGGCTGACCATCAAATAATACTGAAGAAATCCAAGGATGAAAATATTTTTCCTGAATAAGCTGAAAAACCATTATTAGATAAAAAAATAACCATTATCTACAGTAACATAAATTTTAAGTAAACATAAAAAAGTTATAGTTGAGTTCTGTTCAGAACCCAAAATCAGTGATTACCATCATAGTTTTTAAGAACTTAAAATACAATGAATGGTTTCACAAATTAAAACCACAAGTAAATATTAAAACCACAAGTAAATAGAATACAATATGTGTAAAAAGCATAGGTGTGAATAGAATTAATAAAGCTTTTAACTAATTATTTAAAATATGCCATATTTTCCTATGAAATTAACCTAACAAACACTTGCATACAATATAAATTACTCAGTTATTTTTTTTGTTGTAATATTTAGATATTCCTGGTACAAATTAAGTACCTCCAAGTATATATAGAACCTTTAACAGGATATGTCATTATTTGACATTCTTTAAACCTGAACTTTCCTTTTGTCTTTTATGAATGAAAAACATATAATTGACTAGCATTTTATTTTTCATACAATTTACTACAGCCCATACACTAGCTTTATTTAAAACATTAATTTCAGAATAAATGCAGTTGGGGGCAACTCCAGAACAGTACAACAGGTGGAAAAGAAATGGAGGGATATGAAAGTAAGTAGGATTATAATTATGCTTTATAAAATTATGTAAAAAGTGTTGAATTAAGCACATAAAGTTTTTATATAACCTTACAATTTGTTCACCTTAAAACTTGTTAAAATCAAATTAATGCAAATGACTTTACAACTTGAAGGCAAGTAACAAACAAAATACAATTGTAATTTAAACAATACAAGTTTTCAACTACACATGACACTTATTTGGAAAATTAAGTTCTTGTTGACAGTCAACTTAACAAATTGCAAATAATTTACTTGAATTTTATTCCACCAATAAGTTTTTTTAACCTGTGATATTTAAATGTCTTAGTAATATTCTTAGAGTCAAACAAAGTCGAAAGAAGTTAGAAGAAGGGAGGAAATGAGAAAAACCGGAGGGGGAGCTGCTGAGCATATAAATATGTCTTCATTGGAGGAGAAGGTATTTTTATTGGCTACTTTATTGATACTGGTAGTTAATTTTACCTTATATACAATAAAAAATTCTTTATTAAATACTTACAAATAAAAAATTAAGAAATTTATATGAAATAAATTGTGTATTGTTTTTGTTTTGTATTTCCACTGTAAAATGTTATATTTCACTGCAGTGAAACATATTTTCCATAGGTCTTCCTACAACAGAAAATGGTGGGGATGTCCTTGTCCTATGGACACATAACTACTCACCACTACATCTTTTTCAGATTCTAGGCAAGATACCATCGTGTACAGTAGAAGGGGTCCCAGGTGGGAGAGATACAAGTTTAATATTAATAGGTATTTTATCTCATTATTTATTAGCTTCATTAAGTCTCATCCATTACATGTACATATAATACAAAAACATGTTCAATAAAACTTAAAATACATGTAAGTGGACATTCTTATAAAGACTTATAGGAGACTATATGTATGTTGTTACAAACATGTTACAAGTATCATCCCAATTCAAGTTATAACTCTACATGTAAAAAAAAATCTCCACATTTCAGACATAATTTATAAAACCTAGCACAGAAAGGTATTTCACATAGTCATATATCATCTTTGATCAGATCAAAGATGAACAGTCCAGTAAAATCAAATAAAATACATATCAGAGTAGCTGTTTGATAGATAATATTACTTAACTATTTGATAAGAACTTTATGCACAATATACATTTATGATTCAGATGATACTTGTGGAAATGATAATACCAAGGATGATGACAGTGATGTCATGCCAAGTACCAGTATGACAGGTAAGTAGTTTACTGTTTGAGATGTTTTGGTAAATGCTTACATGCAACTCAATTTAGATATTTAACAAAATGTTGATAATATTTAGAAAACAATCAGACTTACATATTCTGCATTTTTAAGGTAATAATTATAATGTTTGTTATCAAGCTTATTCATTAATATTAAAGCAAATGATAGATTGAATACTATCTTAATTCACACTACTATTTTCCTCATTTAATATGCAAAATAATTTATGCTTCAGATGAAAGTGATACATCACAAGTCAAAAGTAAAAGTAGAACAGGTAAGTTTATATTTTGTGGTAACTGCATTTTGGCTGTATTTAAAGGGTGAGCTTTTGTCATAACCTTTTACAGACTTAAAATAAGTGGTGTGCTATCAAGGGACAGTTCTTGCAATTCTATTCAGTTTCATTACATCTGTTATTATTACTATTAATAACATTTTGGTATGCCATCAACAGTTCCCTTCCTTTAGTAAATTAGTCATATAGATATAGAAATTAGTAAATAAGTTTTCTTTTTTTGATATAATAATAACAATTGCTTATTGTCTCTAAGCTATTATCATTAATTTTAGATCCAGAAACATTAGTGGAACTTCACAATGAAGCAACTGAAGGTATGTACCAAACTTTTATCTGTCTACTTGTCTTCTCTTACTGTTTAAAGAATTTAATAGTCTTGGGGGAAACAATCAAAAGGGAATAAAACTAAACGTGTCGTTAGTAATTTTTAGCTTACATTTTGTCTTTAAAAAGTATTTAGTGCACTTTAGACTTAACAAATTTCAGAGATGAAATAATGTGTGGTTTGCTGAGCTTAAGATAATTGAGGTTTAACCTTATTTAAGTCACTGAATTAAGCACTGGCCCTGTGGCCCATGGCCAGTGAAAATTGGTTCTGGCCAGTGAAATTTTTTAGAAAATTTAGTTAAATATATAGTAAAATAAATTCAAAACTGTATTTCGAAACAGTAAATTCAAAATCTTGAATTCAACTACTGTTTTTTTTTGTTTTTTTTTCTATGGTTATCCTTTTAAAATTACAAGTATAGGATTGTTATATATTGGTTATTATTCATTTACTATAGATTCTACTTATCTTTGACATGTATATATAACCATTTTTTTTTGCATAATAAACAAATTATGCAACAATTTTTTAATGTTATTTTTTTCTTGAACACATTTCATAAATAGCCAGAGAATCAACCTCGGAACAGCAAGGCAAAGAAAAACCTAAAAAAAGACCAAAAGGAGGTAAGTATTAATGTGTAGTAAAATAAGATAAGATTGCTATTGACACAAAAAAATCCATAAACTTTTTGATGTGGTACATCAGCAATTCAAATGTTGAGGTCACATCTGTGTATATTATGTTATAATCAAAAATGTGTGTGTGTGTGTGTGTCATATTTTAACACATCATTTTTAGCTTGACAATTTGAAGAAATTGGTAGGGCTAATTATGCCTCAGATATAAAATTGACAAAATGTTAACAACATAATATTTTGAGTTCCATTCACTCGGTGTAACTGTACCTACGGCCAAAAAGGCAACATTTGAGAAAGATGGTTCAGGTAATTGGCCAGTGATCTATTTAATGATTTTTATAATATTATATTATTCCCATGATGGGAGCACTTTTGATGATAGGTGCATGCACATGATTTATAAAAGTTAATAAGTGTATAGGTACACTCAGTAATGTTACATGCCTAATATATATGCACTGAGAACTGTTACGCTGTCAACAAAAATAGTTGATGTATTTTTGTATACATAAATATGTGACCACCAGACTGGGGCCAATTTTTTTTCTACTAGTTTTGTAATTTCACAGAATTAGATGAAAATGTAGCCAGATATTTCTTACTAATAGATGAAATTGATTCATACTTGGATGAAATAACATTTTGACAAAACAGACATGTTGTTTTAAGTCTAATTATGACCATGCCAATAAAATAATCTTGACTATCAAGTGAGTCAATTTTGCTTTAATCATAATAATTTTGTCCTTTATATTTAGACAATACAGTAAAGGTAATAAGCTGCTTCACATTGACATACATTATTCTTTTTACCTTTCAGATATTATTCCTGATTTCATCCGAGAAATGGAAGAAAAGAAGATCAATGAACTAAAGACTATAAGTTCAACATTAAGTAGCATAGACAATTCTTTGAAGGAATTAATCAGTTTTAAAAAAAGAATGGATGAACATGCTGTTGACTTTCTTAGTTTTGAAGTTTAAATTCTTAATTTATATGAAACAGTCTAGAAATTATCAAACTATAAACTTTTTTATACCACCGCAGCATCTGCTATGTGGTGGCATATAGGGATTCACCAGTGTGTGTGTGTGTGTGTGTGTTCTATAGGTCACATAGTGAACTTAAAAAATCTTCTTGTGAAAACCAACTAGTCCGATTCCAACCAAACCTGGCAGGATTGATCCTTAGGTGAAGGGCTTCCATAGTTGTTAAAAATTTTAATTAATACACTTGTTACTATATATATGTAGTAACCAAATCGCCTATGATTTCAACTGATTATGAGTGTCACATGACCTATTATGAGTTTTTTGGCCTGAGGCCCACTGAACATGTGCACATGCACAAACTGAAACAAGGACGTCACATTTTACGTCACCAAACAGTTAACTGTAAAAGTGAAAGTAGGTTTTAAGCATGAATCGCTTAATTTTATTATGAGAGCTGAAGTGTATTTCTCGTAAAAACAAGTTTTATTACTACTTTAAAATTTTAAAAAAATAATTTGGAAAAATTTTTCCGAAGGGGGAAAGAAAATAAAATTGCTTCTTGATTATCCCGAAGTGGAGATTACTTTTAAAATGAAAACCCCTTCGTAGGGACTTTTGCATTTAACGTCTTTTGTTGTGATTTGGCCCTAAAAAAAAATGTTATTAATCTTTTATTTCAGGCCAAAAATTTTTTTGCCATGGCAAATAAAAAGGGAAATTTTAATAATAAAATTTTGCAAAAACTTGTAAAAACCCACAAGGGGGCTAGAAAGGAAAAAATTTTTCATGCATTGGGTTTGGGAGACCTACGAGATTTTTCCCAAACCGGCGGGTCAAAAATTGGCCCCCCCCGGGGCTTATTTTTTCTATAAGTAAATAGGGAAAAATTTTAAAAAACCTTTTGTCTGAAGGTACAACGCTTATTGCTTTGGGTATATTTTGGTATATTGGATATCAATCTATAGGTACTCTACCAAAATTTTTTCAATTTTGCCTCTAGGGTTTCAAAAATTAGCCCCGCCCAGGGGGCCAAATAGGTTTTTTTCCTTATAATGTATTTAGTAAAACTGAAAAATTCGATTTCTGCCAGAGGTTTAGATATTTTTGGCATGAAACATTGTGTTAGTGAACCTCTAGGCAAGGATTGTTCAAATTATAGGGGCCCTCGGGGTCAAAATTGGCCCCTCCCGGGGTTCCCATTGATTTTCAGTCCTATTGTACATATAGTAAAAAAATAAGGGAATTCTGATTGTCTGAAGGTACAAGGCATAGAGCTTTGATGTTTTGCTTTATAATATCAGCCTAGGTTTCCTCTACCAAAACTGTTCCATATTTTGGGCCCCTTGTCCTGTCAAAATTGGACCTGCCGGGGGCATTGATTTTTTTTATGTACAATAATAAAAAAGGGGGAAAAAAATAAATGTTTTCTGAATTTTGGGGGGAAATTAAGCTTTGAATTTGCGAAAAAGTTGGGTTTTGGGGGACCTGTATCAAAATTTTTTTTGAATTAAACCCTTCGGGTTTAAATTTTTCCTTGCCCCAAAGGGGAAAGGGCTATTTCTTGTCCTTTTTAGTAAGCATATATTTGGGACTATGTGCACGGTTTTTTGTAAAAATTTTAACTTTTATTTCAGGTTTACCCCGGGTTTTGATAATGTTGGGGCTATTTTTTTCTTATTTTTTTGAGCATGAAAAATTTAAACCCTGTGCCCGATTAAAATGTAAAGGGGAAATTTGATATCGTGACCCAGATTTTTTCAAGTTCTTCTGTGTTTTTCCTTTGAAAGGTACAAATATTTGGGAAATTTTTGGCCCTTTTTTGAAATATGACCTTCAACCACCAAATTCACTAGACTCAACTGCATAGATAGACTCCTACTCTGATCTTTTATTTGAATGTCAATAGATTTAACCACTTATCTGATAATAAGAATTAGGTAGGTAAGTGATCTATGCATTATGACAATCTTCAGTTGTATAGAAACAAAAAAAATTCTGTTCCTCCATTACATTTTAGTGTTGTACATGTATTAATGTGGTGGCATAACATTTTTCACCAATGCAATCTACGTTGTTATTGTTATTGTTATTTTATCTAAGTGTCAATTGTAATCACTTATAAGAGTGACAGCTAGCTTGTAGACAAGTAAATATACCAAACCATTAAGTGAAAAATAAAGTATTATAGTATGATTACAAAATTTTTAATTCATTTTATACATGTATAACATGCAAAACAATTTACATGAAGACATGAAAATACAAAATTTGATGGCAAACTAGACTAACTTGTATTTTTTTAAAGAAATAAATTTATTAAACTTTGTCGTCTGTCAGAACCGCTTCTGTTAGGTGGAATCTGACAGATATAATTGTCATTAACACATTTTCAAGACTCACATCTGCCAGTGGAACTCTTCTTGTCCCAACAGAAATTAAATGCAGCCTTGTACATGCTTCAGCAGCACTTTACATGCCTTTGTTGGTTTCAGCAAAAAAGGCAGCCTCCTGTCTTGTGCAAACACCCTTGAATGAACAAAAAACATAGTTTATAGAAGGACATTAAATAATGTTCTAAGTTTGTCAATTTAATGAAAAAGTAAAACTATTTCTGCTACAAAAAAATTAATTAATTCGGCTGCCTTCTTATAGTGTATTTGAAGGTATTGAATTTTTGAAAAAATAGTACATGTATACAGTATAGTCTAAAGAATTATATAATACATTACTTTCAACTTGGAATTTTACATAATAAGTTTGCCTGTTACTGGAAATGCAATGCATCAGAAAAAAAACTATTACTGGAAATGCAATGCATCAGAAACAACTATTACTGGAAATGCAATGCATTCAGATCTGATAGCTCTGTAATAAAAAACTCATTATTCTTAGTGTAAGAAGGATAAGATGGGACCTTTCATGGTAGAGAAAAAAAAAACACTCAACTACTTTCAAAGCTTTATATTGGATAAAAAGAAATTGTTAACAGGAGGAAGATTCTAGAAAATACCCTAATTAAGATTCCTTTGGACCCAACAGTATTCATTATTTTTGGCACCGAGGTTGGTCATGACCATTAGATGACCTCTACTGATTGTGAAGCCACTGGTTTTCAAGGTCAAAGTCACAAGGGCGCCTTTAGTTCAAAAAAGCTTGTCCGCTTAATTGTTTTAGAGTGCTTTTTTCAAAAGTATTCATTATGGGTTTGATGATGGGTTTTATGTAGTGTCCCTAAGGGTTTTGAAAGGGGACAATATCAAAAGGGAAAGGTCAGTCAGACGAAAGGGCTTTTTTTTATTTCAATTTCAATTAACCCCCGGGCCCTGATTTTGTCAAAAAACCCTTTTCCAATTTTTGGGCCCCTTAAAAAAAATTTTATTTATTAATTTTGGAATATTTTTTAACAAACCCCAAATTAACTTAAGGGAAAACCAAAAGCTTTTCAAACCCCAGAAAGGGCCCCTATATGGGCTTCATTAAAAAAACTTGGGTTTTTGCTCTTGATGAAGGGTTTAGCACGGGTGGGCATCAGATAAAATTTTAAGTGCCCCTCCCACCCATCTCCAAGAAGATTTCCCCAGGTTTCACTTCCAAAAAATTTTTTGGTTTTTAAAATTTAAAAATTTAAAAATTTTATTAAAAGTAATGTTTGCAAAATCTTCAAAATGTTTATATTTAATGTTTTGGGTTTTCAAAAAGGTGTAAAAAGAAACTTCGGTAGACCAACGCTCGCTTTCTTTTTGTTGTAGTAAAAAAAAAGCCTGATACTTTTTCCTTTTACAGGGTTTTGGGGGGATTGGGTGGTGTGCCAAATTTCCCCCAAAACCCATATTTTCTATGGACTTTTTAAAAAATTTGGAAATATTTAAAAAGTTTTTAAAGTAAAAATTTTAAATTCGAAAAAGGGGCATAAATTTTTTTTTTTTTTGTCAAAATGCTTTGATAGAGTTAAACCTTCCTTTCCTTTTTCAGGTTGGGGGTCATGGGGTGGTTTAACAAGTGTGCAAAATTTCAAAACCATATGTCCAAAGGATTTGAAAAATTTGAACTATTACAAAAAATTTTAATTAAGTGGTTAGCCCGCCCCGCGTGCGGGTAACTGCAATAGCTCTACTTATTCTTATCGAATAGTCGAGCTAAAAAGTTATGCATGTCAATAAAAGGATACTCTTTTTTTTTTACATTTCTTTTATATATTGAAGGGACTCCACTGAGGTTTAAAAGCCTAAAAACATAGCATTTGAATTTCTTACATAATTGAGCTAGGGCACTTTAAACAGAAATATATGCAAAGATAGTTCAGATTTATTCTTTTAAATACATTGAAAATCATTTTCTTATGCAATTCTTAGCCCGATTTGAGTAAAAAGCGTTTAAAAGCTTTTCATTTTGGGCCATTTTTACACAATTTGAATAATTATTCTGGATAAACGATGTGCGCGAATGATCTGAAAACTTTGGCATATTTTAACTTAGTGGCTTAAACCCTACATTCAAATTGGGTTTCATTTATCAGGGAAAAATATTTCCCAGTCCCATCATTCAATAAAACCCCGTGGAGTCCCCTTTAAATTAAATTTTTTAAAATTTTTTATCAGTAAAATTTTACATGTTCAAAAAAAAATTTCCCTTATTCCCTTTTTGAAAAGAAAAAGGGTTTTTTGTGACCCCCGGCTTGGTAAATGTTAAAGAAACTGAAAAAAAAAAATTTCATTTTTGAAAGTTCATAAAATACCCCAAAGGTATCAAAATTTTTCAAGTTTTTAAATTTTAAAAACTTTAAAAAAACCGATTCAAATTAAATTTTTAGAAAAAGGGATTTCCCCATGTTGGGTGTTTACAAATTTCCTGCATGTTTATTTCAGGGAAAACCCTTTCCCGCATATATAAGCAGCTTCATTGTCACTAGGAGCCTTAATTAAGATAAGAAAGAAAAATGAGATGATCACTTTCATACCTTTAATGAGTATAATTTGACAAACAGGATTTATGTTATGTTACAGCTTATTTCAGTAATTCATATGAATACCACATAAATACATTAAAGTGCTCCATGTATTACAAAATTGAAGATAGCCCTTTTGAAGGGCAGTATTTAACAAAATTTGTAATTAAAGTGTCTAAAAAAATTGACTTTTGATAATTAAAACAACAGCTGTCACAGGAGACAGCGAAGCTCGACTAATTAAATACTGGATGCAGTAAGGAAGACTATGAAAGAAAAATCAATTCTGTTATAATATACTTCTTCTTATGACAAGAAGTTATTGTTGTTAACATAAATTCCAAGTTCCAGTGGGAAAACTTCTGGAAATAGTCACACTAGAGTTATGGACCTTGTCAACTTGTATAATGATAAGGAAATATATATTTGAAGTTTGACAGTATGATACCTTTAATAAACGAAAAGAAGTAATTTATTAAAGAAATTTTTTGAGTTCAGAGGGGCATAATGACTGAAAATATTTGCTTCAAGAGTTATGAACCTTGTCACATAAAATCTTGTTGATGATAAGGAATATGTATTTGAAGTTTGAGGTAGATTCCTTTAAAATTAAAGAAGTAAAAAATAACATTTTTCAAGTAAAAAAAATTAAGTTAACAAGGAGATAATTCTTACATATTGGTACTAGAGTTATGAACCTTGTCACATAAGATGTGGATGATGATAAAAATATATATATATTTGAAGTATAAAGTTGATCCCTTATTACAGTAAAAATGATATTTTTTAAGAAAAATTCTAAATTCAAGGGGAGATAAATCTATAAAAAATAGGTTCTAGAGTTATGAACCTTGCCACATAAGATGTGGATGATGATAAGGAACTATTATTTCAAGTATGAAGTTGATCCCTTATGAAATAAAGAAGTTATAGTAAAAAATTATATTTTTTAAGAAAAATTCTAAGTTCAAGGGGAGAAAAATCTAAATATATTGATGCTTGAGTTATGAACCTTGTCACATAACATGTGGTTGATGATAAGCAACATATATTTGAAGTTTGAAGTTGATACCTTAAGAAATGAAAAAGTTAAAGTGAAAAATATTTTAGTGCTACAAAACTTTAATCTGAAAGGTGGACGTGGACCCGAGTAGGACAGCTCTCCATATACTTCGTATAGTCGAGCTAAAAATGACAAGACTGAAACTTTTTTTTTGTTTTTAAACAATTTTTACAATATTGGAACTATGATAAATTTTAGTTTAAGGGGCAAACTTTACCTGTATAGGGAATAGTGTGCCATCTATTGCTCCTACCACCTTTGGTAGGCCACATCTCTGATAAAAGTCATATTTTATACTGTACAAATTCTCTACAGGGAATCTGAAGACAATAATTTAAATCATTAAAGCAGCATGCCTCCAGATTCAGGCTTACTCAAATGAAAATGTTTTAAACAGTAAAATATGGTGAAGGGAACAATGAAGGTCATTTACTATTTGCTAACAGTTACAGCACATACAAAAGAAATAGTCCTTACTATATAGGTTATTATACATTTTACTTTACAATACAGGATTACATTTGGTTGAGTACACAGCTTAAAAAAGTCATATTGGACGCTAATAATATTTTCTATGTTACTAAAAGCATAAACATTATCTATTATTGTTGATTAATGGTACCTTATATTGTCCAATTTTGCATTCACAGCATTAACGAAAGCATCTATAGCCAGGCAAACACTGCTTCTGCTTATTCCATGGAGGTCAGCTACTTCAGAATAAAATGCCCCTTTGGCAAGGTATCTCAATCCAACAAGAACCTAAAATAGCAGTAATACGTGTTTATGACCGCAAAATCCTTGATTTCTTGGAAGTTTATTACTAAAGTTTTGTGTTCAATGCTCGATTTTTGTTCCATTTATTTCAATACTTGATGACTTACTTAATATGTAATTTTTGTCCAGTAGATGACCACAATAAAGTATATGTAACAAGGCTTATAATACTGCACGTTTGTAACGTCACTTTTCATTGGATAATCGTGACGTTTATATTGTTTTATATAAATGGCTGTTGTCGATTCATAAAGAAATCCTACTTTTTTTCTAAAAAATGGTGCTTACAGTATTATCAATTTGTTATAAAGATTGCTGACAGGTTATATGACTGTATATAAATGGCTGTTTGCAATATAACCCGAGCCACAAGGCAAGGGTTAGATTGCAAACAGCCGTTTATATAGGGCCATATAACATGTCAACAATCTGTATAACTAATATTATAATACTGCACGTTTGTAACGTCGCCTTTCATTCGATAATAGTGACGTTTATATAGTTTCATATACACGGCTGCTGACGATTTATAAAGAAATCTCGCTTTATTCCACTAAAAATGATGCTTGCTGTATTATAAATTCGTTATTAATATTTCTGACAGGTTATATGGCCGTATATAAACTGTTGCCTAGCAGCTCGGGTTATATTTACAAACAACCATTTATATAGGGCCATATAACCTGCCAAAATATTTATAACTAATAATATATGCTTGTAAGGGTCCAATATCATAGGCTATACATTACAAAAATGTATCTGGGCTTGCTTGGTCAATTGCCTTCAACAGTTATATATATGTGACCCGTGTAGTTATAAATGATTTAATGAAGACATTTCTGTATAGTTTCACCAACACATGACAAACATGACCAATAAGGGGAAACTTATCTGTCTCAGAAATATGCATATAGGTCCCATATATGGGTAATAGAAGCAAACCCATTTCTGTTTATATGTAATATACTGAATCATATAATTTAAAGATGTGAAATTGATCAGTAATGCTTTAAAATTTACTGAAAGTCATGAATATCAATTAACCTAGGCCTATACAATTTTATTATTTAGGGATATCTGTTATTGAATTATTTACTCTAGAATTAACTTTATAAAATTATATAAGTAGTTAGATTGATGGGTGAACTATAATTGATGTGTCAGGAGGGTGAAGTGTATTCAATGTTTAATAGGTGGGTGGGGTGAAGTAGAATTACCGTGACGTGTCTTACTCCCGTTTAAATAAAATTTTCACTGTTGAAGACGATAACTTTTTCATGTTATTTCGGCCAAAAAGTTATCATATAAACTAACTAGTCTACTGTAATGCCATACCAGGTTACTGTTTACAATATTTGTCACTTAACACTTTAGCTGTTAAGAAATCTATCCAAATTTCTTTCCATTTGAACTGTCACAAACGTATATAACAAAACGTGCTACTAGAGGTCAAAGTAACATAAATCATTCATAATATATTAATTTGATCCACATGAATCACTTTGCAACATCGGGAACCCCTGTACTGGCTGTAGTGGTATGTTTATGTAATTTTAATGTCAAGGCCATTAGTCAATTCACGTAGACTGGTGTCACTTGATTTTAAATAGCAAAAAGATTGCAAGAAACAAAAAGGCTACACAATATAACTCTGTATTATGAGACTAAAAGATAAGTGAATGAGTTTACCTGCGTTTCTGCACTTATCGAAAATGATCTTTTTGTACATTTAGTCAAGGATTCGTCAAGTATGCTGACTAGTTCAGCAATTGAAGTTCTGTCAAGCCGGTAGCGAGACACAATCTCGGAGTCTCTCAGCTCATCCAGCCCTACCCTCTCCTTAAACATGCGATTTTTCCTTTTCAAAGATATGTTGGAAACGTACATTAACGCCATTTTGTCTTACATGTGACGTCATGCGAACGTCGTACGACAGCCTTACCCCTGTCGTAGAGCTGCGACATTTTCTACGACGTCGTAGGCTACGACAAACGTTAATAAAACGGTCTAAACGTTCTACGACATGTCTGCGACAAAAAAATTGTCTACGACGTGTCGTAGAGCGTTGATAAAACGGCCCCCTGGTTCTTGTGCACTGCACTTTGGGTAATTATAAGAATCATGCATACCAAGTTTGAAGTCAATCCGACTTATAATGACTGACTTATGCTCCGGACAAGCCTAAGGGGACGCTGACGCCGACAAAAGTAATCACTATATGTCGCCTTTTTCAAGGCGACACAAAAAGTATCTGAACTGTACAATATTACAACTATTAAAAAATTATATATGATGAAGCTCTTAATTACTATTACAAAAAAACAACAGAGTCATAATAGCAACACCCCTTGGCAGTTAATTGTAAAAATACATAATTATAGATACAATATATATGTAGCTTGATCAGATGGAGCTGTCTCCCATAGACTTTTATAATGCTATCAGTGTATATATAGCTTTAAGTTACCACATACAAAGATTTAATAAGTGTATCTATAATGTGACATGTTATATATGTCTTGACATGTCTTTAATATGTTAATTTATTAGACCAAAACAGTTTCCAATTTAAAATAACATAGGATTTAAAATCAACTTGAATTAACAAACTCCTCTAATAGTGCCGGCACATAGGGCCGTATTGAACACCTGTGTACACTATCACAGGGTTAATTAATGTTTTTCTTCAAAAAGAGTAGTGGAAAATTAATATATGTACCTTTATACAAGTTATATTTTCTGTCTTAATATGTCTCTAATATGTACTTAGAATTATTAAACCCAAAACAAAACAGTTTTGATTTAGAATAAAAAATTATAAATCTATTATTTTCACATGGCACCTTAGGGAAGAAAACAACTATAAAATATTAAGTTTTTTAGGTTTCATGTAAAAATTATGGTTATTTGTAGATATTTAAGGTTTAGATTATGGTCTGGCACCCAGGCTAGTCAGTAATTTATAGCAGAGTTCAATATTTGTCATATAAAGTGTAAGTTTCCCCTCTGACATTTTATAATTGGTGTTTTATATATATAGAACTTCCTTTATTATAGTCATTTGAGGACATTTTAAAACTAATGAACATAAACAAATCCATTGCCATACTTTCCATATGATCATAAGTATCTACTAGTTTGAGTAAGTTTACAGAGTGGTATCAAACAGACCACAAATATTTAAGTGGGGGGGGGGCTGACAACTCATACTATTACCAGTAATTTTCCTTTAATAGCTACAAAACTTCTTATTTTCCATATTATTAACAGGTATTATGTTATACTTATAAAAACTAGCTAATTTATACTCAAAATAAATCTTATTGGAACCATTTTATGTTTATAGAGCTATTTATTGAGTAAATTCAGTTTGGCTATTAAAAAATCAGTATTGGCCAATTTCTGAGTTACTTCCCTTGTACTATGCATAGCCATTATGTATAGATCATAGCCATTATGTATAGATCATAGGGAAATGGCCATTTCCAATGAAAATTGATGGTGTTTTCTTCATTTAATCAGTGAAAGCTTGCTCTTAATTAATATTATTATATAAAATGTGTAAATAATGAACATTTTCTTGTGGGGGAGGTTAAATTAGAGTAATTCTTCCTTGTTTATTGTTAAATTGACTTTTTATCTTAAAGTTGGTATACTATGTAGGAAAATAACTAGAACTTTTTAAGTAAACCACAGAACTTGATAGGGATTTTTTTGTTTAGACCCTTAATGATTAATTGTTGTTATATAATTATATGGATGTTTTATTTCCATTTTAGTTTTATTTAGGGTTTTTTATTGGGTCAAATTATGTCAATTTATAGATATTTCACTGATTTTTATAGGAATCTTAAATATGTATCTGTTTGATACCAGATGTGATTATTATGCATTTGTTTTAAATGAAATAGCTATTAACTGAGTTGTTATTCTGTGTTTTAGGTTATCAATTGATATTTAATGCAAAATTGGAAGAAGTTATCTGATACGGTTTGAGCTTATTAATATTTTAAGTCTAGAAAAAACCAGTGCCGTCAGGGACTTTAGTATACAAACTGGGTCCCATAACAAGAGCTGTCGGTAGGACAGCAACGCTCGACTATTCTTAGTGCTTGATAGTAATAAAAATGCTTGATACAGTTACCTCCTTCTGTTTACAGGTTGGGGTCATGATGGTGAACAAGTGTGCAAAGTTTCAAAGCCATATGTCAATGGACTTTGAAAATATTTGAACTATTACAAAAACTTTAATGTAAATTCTAAGTCGAAAAAGGGGCATAATTCTGTCAAAATGCTTGATAGAGTTACCTCCTCCTGTCTACAGGTTGGGGTCATGATGGTGAACAAGTGTGCAAAGTTTCAAAGCCATATGTCAATGGACTTTGAAAATATTTGAACTATTACAAAAACTTTAACGTAAATTCTAAGTTGAAAAAGGGGCATAATTCTGTCAAAATGCTTGATACAGTTACCTCCTCCTGTCTACAGGTTGGGGTCATGATGGTGAACAAGTGTGCAAAGTTTCAAAGCCATAATTATGTCAATGGTTTTGGAAATATTTGAGGTATTACAAAAACTTTAACATAAATTCTAAGTTGAAAAAGAGGCATAATTCTGTCAAAATGCTTGATAGAGTTACCTCCTCCTGACTACAGGTTGGGGTAATGATGGTGAACAAGTGTGCAAAGTTTCAAAGCCATATGTCAATGGACTTTGAAAATATTTGAACTATTACAAACACTTTAACAAAAATGGTTACGCCGACGCTGACGCGAACGCCGACGCTCGGATGACTACAATAGCTCTACTTATTCTTATCGAATAGTCGAGCTAAAAACCTATGGTTTTAATAGGAAAGGTATAGGTGTAAAATATTAAAATCTAAAAATTAAGTCAAAAAGGAAAGAGGATTTAGGATTTTCATTTTAAAAGACCTTTTCATGACTTTTTAGGGTTATAACTACTACGGGGATTTTGTCACACCCTTTATTTTAAAAAATTTTAAATTTAAAAGTGTCACCATTATTTTTGCTTTTTAGCAAAATAAAAAATTAGGGAAGTGGTCAACCCCATTTTTATCACCCAATACCCCCACTGTAAAAGAAGCTAAAATTTTTGGGGAGGCCATTTTTGGTTTTGGGGGGGTTTATTAAATTGGGAATGGTTAACAAACCCCCCTTTATTAAACTTAGTTGGTTTTGGGGCCACAATTTAAACCCCACAAAACCTGGGGTTACACAAAACCCTTGTTTCAAATAGGGTTTAAATTTCCTTCCCCCTTTTATTCCTTTACGAAAATACCCAGGTGCGCAACTACACATGCTGATTTACATTCCTGTAAAGTTATATGACTCTAGGTCAAATACTTTTTGAGTTACGTGTGACACAAGTGAACGGACGGAAGAACGGACAGACAAGGGTAGATCTAAATGCCTGCCACTAAAGTGGGGGCACTATAAAAGTTAATTTTAGGGATGGACACCTGATGAAAAGCGATCACAAAAGCTCACCATGTCACTTTGTGAAGGTGAGCTAACAAAAACAAAAACAAAAACAAAAAATCTATCTATCAATTTCAATGCAGTTGACAACTAATTCCAAGCCTATTTGATTACTCTTCAAAGTGGAGGTATTATGCATGCATTAGCAATGGTCAACCTTAATTAAAATATTACTCCTTTATATAAAGTTTGACAGTGATTCAAACAAACTGAAGAATAAATACATAGTCTAGCTATGACTTAGTTCAATATTATGAAAATATATTACAGTCCTGTACAGTAGACTTTAAAAAATAACTTAATGTTGTTGCATTAAAATGTGCCAAGCTCAAAATAAAAATCCATAGAAATTCAGAAAGTATAAAATAATATAAATAATAAACTTACTTTTTATATAAAGAAACATCAGTCCATCCTTAACACTTCCAGAAGATAATCCAAGTTGTCTAACTAAATGTACATATTTTAAAATGTTTCCTTATCTATGCCCTGCACTAAATTTCTGATTAAAAAAAAAGATGTCTATTTCACCTGTCACTTGTCTCATAATCTATTTATAAATTGTTTCTCACAAGTTCATTTAAGGTTACTCAGTACTTGTTGTTGTTTTAAAGTCAAACCTGTACACTCCAGACTTCAAAGTGTCATCATAGGTGACCACAAAATTGTCTGATTGTTTTATAAATGTTTTAAAATTTTCAAATTCTGTTTCTGGTTTTATATCACAACCTTCTATAGATACTGTCACTGTATGTGGTAGTTTGTTTAAAACAGTAATGAGATCATGTAACACTGAACAAGACATTGTTATCTTATACAAGTAAACACGTTCAATATTGATCATTTGAGGTGACAGTGTTAACGATCTTTCACCTAGATTGATTCTAAACAACCTAACAACTTTCACATGATATATCAATGGTAATGTTTGTAACATTGTTTCTATGTCACTGGAAGATTCTAGATCACTACAATAAAATTTTTGTAGTTTACTGGCTGCTGGTAGTTGACTCAGATAAGATGACACAACACCAGATTTATATAATTCACCTATAGTACATTTCTCTAACAAGGATACATCCATGTTTAATTGTGACACAGGTATCCGGGACAATCCTAAACCTCTTAGTTGTGAATGTTGAGACAGGTCAAGGTTGAATCCCCTACATGAAGTATTCTTATGATCACTACAGTATAAACTGTACAATGATATTTCTTTCATTGATTTTTTACTAGTGAGGAAATTTAACAATGTCTCCATTACCTCGTGGGTCATAGTGAAACAGTTTATATATAAACACTCCAGGTGTTGTAATTTTACCAGTCCTCCATTTATCTCTGCAGACAGCCGGCAATATACTCCTACAAATTTATGATTTTCCCATTTACTTGATAACACAGTTAAACATTTTAAAGGGTTCAATAACAAGCTCATTATTTCCTCTTCTACAATTTCACCATGATAGGATAATTTCTCTATATGTGGAAGGTCAGAGAGTGTAAACAAATTGATAATTTCTTGTACACTACAAATACCTTTATTATTTATCATTATTGATTTTATATTTTTTTTATTTT